CAGCTACTGGATATTTTGAGAAGGTTGACCGTGCTACTGCCGCGCACATCACACACCACACAGCACACAGTACAATGCGCGCAACATGAATGGATGTGTCTATAAATCTCAGGTAGCGATCTTTAGCACAACAGCACAAATATCATAAATGCGATTAAAAACTAATTTATTGAGAATGAAGTGACAGAATTCATGTCATAAAAACGCAAAACAACAAATTGTGTCGCCGTATCACTTGGTTTGCGTGTGTGATGCTTGGTCATGTATCTGGTTTTCTCTCTCTCTCTCTCTCTCTCTCTCTCCATCTCTTGCTCGCTCGTTTGCAACATTCCGTTCTCATAATTTCAACGCTTGCACCGAGTTGACGAGCACCGTTTTTAATGCACATGTTAACATGTCAACAATTTGCGGAAAGAGAACATACCAGCCAAATTGTTTCTTCGTATTAACCCGCACACATAACAGATCGCCAGTACGCGTTCGTTCATGTAATGACAAAAGAAGAGCGAAACAGGGCACAGAACAATGTTCCATCAGAGATCAGAACGATCATTACCGGGGCGGTCGAACATTTTATCAGGTACTTGTGCACAAATTTCCGATGACATCTCAGCAGCAACAGTTCGAACTAGGTTTTAGTGTGTATGGCTGCTTCAGTTGTTGTTCCCCGAGATTTAATTGCCAGATTGCAAATCGAGATCTTTCCAATGACTGATACTGATAACGCGTTGTGATATGGAACCACTGCACACAAAATGAACACAAGAATGAGGAAAACTCGAGCTCAAGTCCATTTGGTTGGCTGAATTGTTCAATTTTTCATTCCCATCGCGATTGGAATGCCTGTCGAGTTGACAAAATATGTCAATTGTGATTTAGTGAATGCTGTTGCTGCTGCTCTCAAATTAGAAAGATTATTTTCATTCCGTGAGTTCAGCGAATTACATGCAATTTAGCGTTTTATTCTGACAGTTCAGAATCATATTCGGTCCATTTGGGCATTAGTCTTTCTCTTTTTGTCATATTAACGTTTATCGTATTTGAATGGCAAGTCGTGGACAGAGTGACACAGCACATGTATGAATACATACAATGTACAGTACATACATCTGCAGATCTGAAGAAAAAAAAAAACGGTGAAATGATCATTCACTCCAATATGTGGCGACCTGTTTGATTTATAAAGCGGTTCGTGCTTGAATCGTTTCAATTATTCACAATTCAATTGTGTATCGTGCGTTCAATCGATGGCAAAACATAAATATTGTACTCTTGGTCTGTTGGATATATGTTGAGCTTTGGCAACGGCTTTGTTACATGCCCATGCGCAGTTGCATCAAAAGAAGCAAAGAAAAGCGAACACCTTCGATGGACCCGCATGCTGACAAAACAAACAAAAACCACTCCAGAAGTCTCCAAGAATCTCCTCGGCATAAAGCATGAAGCAAAAGAATCGGCCGACAATGAAATAATTTACAATTAGACAAGTAACAGGCGTCATCGTACGTGTCGCGTTCAATTTTCATTTTATTTTTCTCGCTTCATTCAAGTATGAGCGAATAGACTGAGTGCTGTGTTTGTCGATAGAATGGAGCTTGTGGACTGTAAGTGGCTGTCGAAGAACCGTTTGCTAAATTTCTACAGTGTTGTGCGCCAAACAAAAAGCGAATGAAACTGAATTGAACTTTTCAAAGGTGTTCATTTGTCCGCCTATTCCGCTAAGTACCTTTCCATCCTAATTGATGTTCGACACTCTCTTACTATCTGCCACAGCGAACCAAACTCCAAATGGCCATGTTTTCGGTTTGTTTCTTTTCGTCGTTTTCTTTTTTCAAGTGTCGCACCCAGACGGGAAACATTTTTTTTCGAAAACATTACGATCGATTTTGGTTGCTTTACATTCATTCTTAATCACCGCATCAAATTTTCGTTCGGAATGTGCTGGTTGTGAACCGATCTAGATGTGTACTGTGTACACAGCGTATACGCGACTGTCACTTAATCCATAGTTGACAGTAACAGTTAAGAGCGTTAATCGACACAACAAAAGCCGCATCGATGTATGTGTGTGTGTGTAATGTGTTGTCCAGCTCAAACTGGCACCGACCATAAATTATCATTTTCGACTGTAATTTGTCGCTAGTTTTACATACATGATATAGAACAAATTATTGTCGAATTGACGATAAACAAATTTATCGGGCCATGTAGATTTTTCAGTTGCGACTGAAGTGATGCTGTGCTGTGCTATGCTATGTGTGTGTGTGTGTGTGTGTGTGTGACGTGTGCACTTTTTTCGCATCGCAACACACACAAACAGACAGGGCTCATTAATGTGCCGATTTAAAATTGTTACGGATCAATTGGTAGAGCAATTTGAACTTTTATTATTGGGTATATTTTCTGCTACAATTTCGGTTGATATTATTTTTATCGTTCGTGCTCTGGATATTTCTACACACTATATACACGCTCATTCGATTGCCCAATTGACATATACACTCCGTACCATTCCGACAAATGGTAAAATATGTAGCTCTCTTTCGCATCTCAATCGACCAGAAAGCAATGAGAATTTGCATATGTGTACGACGATTTACAATTCGATTCGATCTCATTTTTTGGTTTTCGTCGTCGTTGTTGTTGTAATGGCATCAATAAAAACATTTATGCAGATTAATGCAAAATAAGGCGTAAAAATAATAATATCACGACAGTGGCCGTTTCAGTTAGAGTTTTGTGAAGTTTTGCTGGCTGAGGCAAGCGATCGAGCGAGTGATCGCACGAGAGCAAAGTATTTGGTGTGATATTTACCACTGAATATAAGATTATATTCGATCTATATAGCAAATATTATGTCTATGTATGAACCGTTGAATAAGTGGTGCGCTGTGAGAGACATATAGACGCGCGAATAATGTCAATATGTGTCGTAACGGAACACTGTGACACATTGTTACAATTAGATGTGTGTGTGTGTGTGTGTGTGTGTGTGAGAGAGAGAGAGAGAGAGAGAGAGAGAGAGAGAGAGAGCGTTTAAGTGCGCGCAAATTGAACATTTGGAATGTCGTACATACTGATCGACTGGAATGGAACCGTTACGTTCATGGTAAATTAAAATTTTTATTTTTATTACTCTCACCATCTCTGGTATAACTTTTAATTTTTACCGACAATGGAGGAAACAGAATGCGAAAGAACATTGAATTGAAAAAAGAAAGAAAATGAGAATTGTCCCAGAGAAGTGATAATTTGGATTGAGCTGTCAACACAGTCCTTAAACGAACGCCTTTTTGCTCGCCCTTTTCAGACAAACGTCCATCACGATCAACCATAGCTAGCATGAACAAGGTTACCTTGGTTTCGAAAATCCTTGAATTGGATTATTATGTGTATTAGTAATTCATTGCGTTTTATCGTCACCAACGAAATGCCATTTCGGCAGGCGATCAAGTAATCACTCTAGGCTATATGCAGATTACTAGAGACTTAATCAAGACAAGCGAAACATTTAAAATGTGGCTCGCACACTCGCAATCCAATGCTCATTCCGTCTTGTGCGCGTATTTAAATTTGTGAACAAATTATGTCAGAGCGCCACTGACGCCATCGTTGTCGAGTCAGAAACACGAGCAAAATCCATTTCAATGAGATGTAATTCCAAATTTGTACAAATAAGCGCCTGTAATTGAATATGATTCGTTTCGGTGGGGGGGGGGGAGTAAGTGCCGATCGTGTGTACGTGTGAGGAGGACCTATCAACCGAAAAAATGCTAATTCAACATAAACATAAATATAATGTGTTATTGTCCCTCCGGAGCGTTCAATCAAGCGAACGACCGTGTGGCCGAAAATAATAAAAATTGCATGTCCATTATTATCCACGTGTTTTGGCTGCCTTATATATTTCGATAATAGAGCGCATTTGCAAGCGATAATAATAATGGTTGTTGTGTGACCGAATGAAAATTGGTTCGTGCACACCAAAATAGCAATGCAAACACACTTCGTCTGAAGTCATTGCAAAACGATCTCGCGGCCGAGAAAAGCGGGCCAAGCCATAAACACTGCGAATCTACCAAACGTTCAGCAATTCTCTACTCACTCCGTGCCTCTATCTCTCGCTATCTCTCTCGCTCGCTCGATCTCTCTGGATTTTATTCTCTGTATGTGTATATCTTAACCTTAGCACACGGAACATTGGTTCGGTCTTTTCTATTTCGCCATCAATGCTGCGGTTTTTTTTCGACTTCTTTCGTTCATACTCGGTTCACCATATGATCAAATGAGTAATGTGCTTAATTATTCATTATTAAACATTTTCGACAATTGAATGTGTGTACAGTACTCGGGCCTTTGTATCTTCGTGCCCTTTTTTCTCTCGCTCTTGCTCACACTTCCACTGTGTGTACAATCATTTTCGCGTATGCAAAGAACAAGCATTCAAAAAAAAAACAGCCATGCCAAAAGAAAAACAAATGAGATGGAAAAAGAAAAAAAAAACCTAAACAATTATGTTTCTCAATGTTTTTCCTGTTGGTGATTTTTCTCATTCTGTTTCATTGTAAAAATGATTCATCGATTCTGGCGTTTGCAATATACTTTCCGTACGATTATTATAATTTTGGTGGTGGTGTGCTCGTGCTTTTTTTTCCCATTCGTTCGTTGTTTCTCGACGGTATTTTCGATTATTCAATGGGTGACGCAACATTAATTTTTATGCTATTATTTACATGTGCTGTGGCATGTATGTGATTAGTACGCTTTTCCACCTCTGTTTAGCATATTCCATTGATGGTCGCTCGATTGAATAAAGCATTACGTCCGAAGGTATTGAAAAGACTCCGTGGCAAACAGTGTCATCATCAAGCTAATTATTATTACACAGTCAAAATCTTTATTTATGAGTTTTCTTCTCTCTTCATATGGGCGATGCGTGCGAAAATAAGAACCGTCTTTCTCTTTCTCTCTCTCTCTCTCGCTCTCTCTTTATTGATCACTTTTGTATTTGCCATCATAACAATGTATATACATCTCAACCAAGAATAGCCAATCAAACTGTAAACAAACAAAACACTTTTTTCTCTTCTTTCGACAAGCTAAAAGAAGTCATCAAAAGGGAGAAAAAAAGTCGTCAGCTTAGAGAATTTATGCAAAACTTCTTGATCAAGAATTTCAATTGGAATGAAAACATTAAAATCGATTTAAAAGCCGTTTGCATATGGTATATAACAGCTCTTAAGAGCGGCCAATGAACGAAAACAAAACACACCGTGTTGAGAATGAGAGAGAGAGAGAGAGAGAATGAGGAGAAACAACAGAGAAGCGACGACAAAGAAGTCGACTGACAACTCTCAAAACAATGGATGTGTGATATGCCGGTTAGCACAGAAGATGAGCATCAAACGTCAACATCACGCTTCAAAATTGTATACATAAATTCGAGACATTTAAAACCTATTAAGCCGACTGAAACAAAACCGTTCTGACGAATGAGAACTACGAGATACGCGCATACTTGTTTTGAGTCGAGTTTTTTTTTCTGTTTCATATTCGCTTGATCGGAATAAAGTTAAAATCAATAGTCACCTACCTCCTACTTTATATTATAATTTCAAATGGACCGCGATAAATTCAAAGTGAATTTTTTACTGAACCTCAAGTCGAGAGTTGTCAAGTATTTAAAAGCAAATAAACCATAAATATATTAAGTGAGAGAGAGAGAGAGAGAGAGAGAGAGAGAGAGAGAGAGAAAAAATCATAAAAAGCGCCATTTGATCGCTCGCCAAGTTGGCCAAATCTCATTGATTTGTATTGCTGCTGCTGCTTCTGTTGCTTTTGCTGTTGATTCTGCTATCACAGTGTAACAATGCGGTGTAAATTTGTCCATGAACTGAAGATCCGAACAAAAAAGCGCCCGAACGGAACAGTGGCACTGTTCAGAGATTTTTTCTTTGGTTCGGCATTAATTTTGTCAAACACATTTCCGTTCGATCGCACATCAAACGATCATTCATCGAATTACTTTTTACCATAATTTCCAAAACATGGATTTCTCTTCTGACAATTATGAATAGATCGACCGAATACAAAGCAAGCCATAACAAAAACCAAATTTATGAACAAACTCATCTGGTTGTTCCGTTCTCGATTTTTTCGAGTTTACTAAAAAATATGACATCGATTTTATGAGAGCGCACAAAAAAAGAACTAAACGCAACCATTTCAAACGCACCAATTTTTCTCATGAAACAATCCCGAGCCAAGATTGAATTCGATAAAGTAAAAACAGACAAATGAACTTCGTGTTTAAGCAAACGAAGACGAAAAAAAAACAACAACAAACATTTAATGAATAATTTGGAAATGAAATCAGGAAAAACAAAAAAAAAATATGTATATAATGACAAAGTAGAACATGACGATAGAGAGCGAGAGAAGAGAATCGACGAGAATCACATAAAATTCAATTTCCCAACCGAAAAAAAAGCAACAACAACGAAAAGAAGCAATAAAAATCACAATGTGATGAAAATCGATTTAAATGCTGGATAAAATGGCCGAAGAAAAAGGGAGAGAGTGAGAACGAAACACGTCAACATGAAAAATAGAACAAGATAATAAGTAATGATCGTTCTATGATCGACATTAGTTGACTTGAGGTATTTGAAGACGCGATAACAGCATGGAAATGCGATTAAACAACGGGATTTTAGTTATTTAAATTGAAATCACGACCATTTTTGGGCATTTAGACGAGAATTTATAGGTAATTTTTTTTTGTTTTTATCTTTGAAATGGAAAAGAAATTAAAAACATTCGAAGAGAAATCGGTAATTGTTTGTTTTTCATAAGCCAAACGGGAAGTGTAGAAGAAGAAATTGGTGGTTTTGGGGGGGAAGTTTTTGCTATTTTTAGACGGAAATTCGATGAAAAATTGCGACATAAGTGCAAAGGGTAGTTAAAAACACATTTCTCTAATGATTTTGTCGAATGGCTGCTCGAAGGGGAAATATTTGTGGTTTTTTTTTTTTTTGAATAAATAGAAGTCAAAGTCACTCGGAAATCCGCCTCTAGATCTTTTAAATCGTTGAAACTCACGTAAATTTCTAAGCGGAAAGACGATCAAAACGAGTCGTTGTTGTTTTTTTTTTATTATAACTGAACATAAAAAAGAACCAACTAAATCCACGTTCAAACGATCGCTTGTTATTTGAACATTTTCGAACACGAATCACCATTGGAGTGAAGATAGCAAATCAACCTGGAAATCGAAACAAAGGAAAATAAATAAAAATGTGTACAATAACATAAGTCAGTTGTAGCTATAACAGCAGCAGTCAGGGCTGATGAATGCACTTCGTTCTTCATTTTTCGTTTTTTTTTCTCGTTCGTTCTTGTTCTCTCGTCTCTTCTGGCTGCGTTTTTTTTCTCTCTGGTGTGTGTGTGTTGTTCAATTTTCGTTTATTGTGTGATTTCACTTTGCACTATAACAACCGACCTCACCGAACATCTACAAAATAGAGCTCAACGCGAACGAAATTAATACAAGTTGTATTATACAAGCAACGTCTGATGTGTATTCCAAAAGAGTCAAGCCGAAAATTTATATTTAAAAAAAAAAAGTAACCATCGAAACGGAATCGTTAATAAGATGTAGTAGAGATATTAATGCGCTGCCGTAAAAAGAGGAAAAAAAAGGGAGACGAAACAAGAGAGAAAAAGAGAGTGAAATGAAATGAAAAAAGAAGAACAGAACAGAACAGAACCGCGCAGAATACGCATATATACAACACCGGTGCATCGGGGTTTAGTGTCGAGGTTTTACGACTAAACCGTAGATCGATTGCAGCCATCGTAGCTGTCTTCTTCCTCAGCGCGTCTCGCTGTTATTATTCAATTTATTTTTTTTCTCCTTTCCACCTTCTCTCCGTCTGTTTGCGTTGCATACGAATTCGAATCGATGGTGTTTTTTGTCGTAACTTTTTCTTCTTCTTCTTCTTTGTTCGTTGTAACGCGTTCTTCTTGCAATACACTTCTTTGCCTCTCTCATAACTTGTGTAACGATTTTTTTTTGTCTGTTCTTTTTCTTTTTATTCTTGGTCTTCGATATATATGCAGTTTGTGCGTGTATTTGAGCTGATGCATCGTGCGTATGTGTTTGTGTGCGTGTTTGTGTGCGTGTTTGTGTGTTGAAAATGCATTTGCTATGGCATAATGACGAAGACGAAAAAACTCCTTAACAAAAAATCTATTCAATTTTGAGCGTTTCTCTCGTTCGAGCGCAACAAAAACTCAACAAACCAACAAAAAATAATCAACGAACAAGAGAAGAGACCAAATGAAACGAAGAAGTAGAAGAAAATGAAAAGAAACACAACAAAACAGTCATGTGTTTATGAAGCATTTCCATTTTGGTTTACCTGCACGTATGACGGTGTGAGTGGTGAACGCGCGCGCGTGTGTGTATGCGTGTTTATTTATATCTGTACACGATGTAGATGCGTATGAGTGTGTTGCGTGTAGAGTGGAAGAGCGGCTACCTGATTTGCTTGGCACTGACTAACAACAGTCGACATATGCACACTGTGAGCAACGGCCAGTTTTTGCTGTTTCTTGTGTCGTCTCTCGATTAAATTTATTTACCTTTTTTTTTCGTTGGAGCGTCACAAACAATTCTGGTGTGTGATTTTCGATGCAGTTCGTTTTTTGCCGTTATTCAATCGTTGTGAATTTAATGTGAATTTTTCATTTTTCATCGAAATAAAATATTATTTTTTGTTCGGTTATTTATTTGAAGAAAAAAGGTGACAAAAATAATAGATGTGAACTCCTGTATTTTAGGAATTGTATAAGATTGCATGTGAGTGTGCGTGCATATGTGTGTGAAGCAATTTGTTGGGCATTGAGAAGGAAACCCGAATATCTTTCTGGATTAAGGTGGAATTAAGGAAGAAGAGAAAAAAAAACGTAGCAGCGAATCAGTCGTTTTGGGAACGTTTATTTGGTGAATAGCAGCAGAGCCCTTTGGTTCATTGTTGATGCGATCACACAGGTGGTTGATCACATCAAAAATGTGTGCTTTACACTGTTAATTAAATCAAAAAAAAACCGGACGTGAGCACAAACAGAGTGAGTGCGTGTGTGAATTGAAAATGTGCATGGCGATAAACACAGGATTTAAACAAAAATTGCCGCAGTTTCATTTCTGCCGCTTCACCGCCACCACATTTTGAGTGAATAGAGAAAAAGAATAGTGTGTTCTTAGCTGCAGCCATTTCGCCCACATTCAAACGTGATCTCAGTCAATGAAGTGTGATTTCGAAGTATTTGTACAATCATTGACTTTAGTCTAAAAAAAACGCCGCAGCTACATACTGAACCATTGAAGATTAAAATTTTTCCTATTCCAAAATTGGAAAAAAATAAAAAAAAATAAAGTGCTTAAATCCAAAAAGACGGCCAAGTTTATATTTGATTGAAGAAAAAAAACTATACTGTCTGACCGAGAAAAAAAAGTGTTATGATCAGAAAAAAATATATTTCAAGTGCTGTTTGTTGTACTCAAGAGAAAAACAATACAAAAAGAAAATTTTGAAGACCGAAAAAAAAACTCATCAAAGCGTATCAAGTAACCGACCATTAGTACGCATTCGATGATTCTATGACGAATATGTGAAAATAGTGTGGTTGTTCGATTGAAACGGTGTCGCTGGTTGGTCGAAATCGAAGCGAATAAAAAGAAAAATGTCAATGTGGAGAGCAGCGATCGCAAAAGAACACAATTGAATTTGATGTGGCATGTGGGCATAACCGTTGACCGACAAATGAAAATGTCACATTACAACACTCTATGGAAATTGAAATGCATAAATGAGCACAGAAATCTGCTCGATCATCGGAACAGGTAGCGAAACGTATTAGGCCCAAACCGACACACAACATACAATTTACACGGTGCGTGAGTATTTTTCAATTTGACGAGACCCATCCCGTAAATAAATAAACAAACTCATCCAAAATGCCAAACTGACAAAAAAAAATGTCTAACATGTAACATGAATCATGACTTTTCTGATCGCTTCTTCGTTTTTTTTTTTGCTGGAATGCGTCATTTCGATGCTATGATGCGTGTATGTTGCATGAGCGCATGATGGTACTATCTGTTGTATGAGTCGAAACATTGGACAGTGAATATTTTTCCGAGTCATTTGTTTTTCCTGTCGTTTCTCTTGCTGTTTATTGTTTTTTCTCTCTCCCTCCCTCTCTCTCTCTCTCTCTCTCTCTCTCTCTCTCTCTCTCTCTCTCTCTCTCTCAACCAATAACAATTTCCCCAATCCATCTTTCGATTGAATAACATACTTCGATTTTTAAATGTCACACACTCAAACGCAATAAAATTCAATGGCAATCGCTTTAAAATTCTTCGCTCTTGTCATAATAATCTTCATTGCTTCGTATGCACTTTGGGTTGCAGCAGCAGCGACCGTTTGGTCGTTGTCGTCGTCGTCGTCGTTTTTTCTTCTTTTCCTTTCTCGTGTTCATGTCAAAGATATCTTAAGTTCTCTTCGATTGTGAAAGCCACAAAAGGCATTTTTGTTGCAGCTAAAATTGCGTTTGAGAAGGAATCATTGTGTATTTTGCTGTGACAGCGAAACCATTTTCACCACTCACCACGCTCTTTTTCTTCTACTTTTTCAATTCAATGAGATGGTGGAACGTGTGGTAGATAATGAATTGGTAAATTGATCGATTTGCCTGCCGATTGAACATATATGCAGCGTCGTTGCCCATTTACAGATGCCATGAAAAGCGCAAACTTTCAATTGCTCAACGCATAAATGCAGAGAGAAAGAGAGAGAGAGAGAGAGAGAGAGAGAGAGAGAGAGAGAAAGAAAACGGCTACCGCTTCAAGTGAACAACCAAAGCCAACAAAGACGCACCACACAAAGACAATGGAATTAAAAAGAATTCGCTTTTTGTTATCCATAAAACAATTGATGTCGCGAGCACATTGAAATTGCCTCAGCCACAGTTTTTTTTTCTTTTGCGTTGTTCATTCTTCTCTCGGTCGTTTTTTTCTCTCGTGCTCCAGTTCAGTGGTAGCCGCTTGAGTCAGGAGCAGAACTAATTTGATTGAACGCGTTTATTGGAACATTTTTAATTTAGTGGTCTATGATGGTTTTTTTCCGTTCTGTCTCCCTATCTATCGCTCGGATTCTTTTGTCTTACCATTTTGGATCGTAGGCAGATGCCGAAAGCAAAATCAATTTCGATTAAGTAATTAGCTTTGGTTTTTCATTCCATATCGATGAAGAAAAACCGTCGACAATTTTCTTTCCCATTCATTCCGATCGATAGGTCCCAAGCACTTGATCAAATTTAAATGCAAAATAACCATTACGATGAGCTACGACGACGATGATGATGACGACGACGACAACGACCAAGACGGCGTTGGTATATGCCTGATGGCCTCGTATTTAGATCGTAATCTCAAAAACACTGCATATATAAATTGATAGTTTTTGTGCTTTTTCCCATCAAGCCACCAACATCTCTGAATATTTTAATTAGATCAGTGATTAAGTACAAAAAAATAAACGATAGAACAATGTATCAAGGTTTTTTTTTTTCTTCTCTGTATGTTGCCGTCCATTTCACTTTTCACTTATTTTTTCTCTCGTTCGGTTTGCCATTGAATTCGTTTGAAAAAAAATGTCTTTGTTTTTGTTTCATTTTTATTCCATCATTCGGTAGCGATGAAAAAGGGAATATTTGGGATGAACAATGCAATTGTTATATCGATCAAAATGGATAGCATTTTGGGATGGTTTCGATTCTGCCAATTCCGCAAACGATACAACTGCATCGCATTCCCTTGTTTGGTCGTCGAATTGGTCGTTGCCACTCTATCAAATTGCGGCCTGTATGAATAACATGCAATAATTTATATAAAAATGCAGAAGCTCCCACATATTTCCTGCGTTAACATTCATAATGGACCGGAGAAGATGCAATAGAATTCCGTATGAAAAATTCACTGCCATTAACATTAACGACGTTTTGCATGCGAAATAAACAAAAAAACCACAACAACAATAACAGCGACCATTTTCGCTCTTCTTTTGTATTGTGCCGGTGATGCTTCTTTTTTTGCATCGTAGTGCACTCTATTGTTCCGAGGCTGCGACTGATAAATTATTCATTTTGTACGGCACTTGAAATTTGCGACATAAATCCTTTTTCCCGAATCAAAAGGAGAGAACAAACGAACGATGCAACGATTATTTATCTTGTCATCGGTTCGGCTCACCTACCGAGAATCGCTTTGATGATACACGTACACTTAGACACATATAAAGAAGGCCCGACCCGACAATTGATTGTGTCGTTAGAGTAATTCTCAAATAACTCTAATGTCAACTGCAAAATTAGTAGACTTCAAAAATAATCTAAATCAAATTAAGCGCGAAGCACCGAAGTTAAATGGCGGAATGTCGTTGAATGTCTCTTTTTTTTGCGTGCGCACACATTTCAATCAGTGAGTTGCCCCCGTTGAAGGCATTTTGTTGGTGATTATTCGTTGTGATTTGTTTTTTTCTCGTCTGTCTCACTCGTCATTTAACAGCCGCTTGCGAGAGTCACATGTTCAACGCTTAACGGGATACAAGAATTGTATTGTCACTCGTACGAAACAGAATATGTTCCAATTTATTTTTATGACTATAATTTCAGAAAAAAAAAGATTTATTTTTAGCTGATTCTTTCTATCTATTTTGTTGTCGAGGCGTACCACTTTTGTTTACACAGTGAAAAAAGATTTTGTTTTGTTGATTTCTTGTTCAGCGTCAAAAATAGATGCGCTGAAAAATTTCACATCATTTATTCATTTAGCCCGAACAAATGGCAACATCATTTTCGGTCGTTGTATGCCATTTTTCTTCCTCTTTCTCCCTCTCGCTCTCTCTCTCTCTCTCTCTCTCTCTCTATCTATCTCTCTATCTATCTCTCGCGTGTAGCTTCCACTGCTGATTGACTAGCATCATGGTGTAGCCGTGTATGTTTTTTGACTGTGATTAGTTGGGATTTTTTCGCGTTGTTGAGCACCGTCTCGCGCCCTGTCGAAATCAATTTATAATTATATCCCATTGACGGAAGCAACCGTATTGGTTTGGTTTTGTGGGAGCGCGCACAAGCGCATTCGAAAACGAATCGAAATTTCTATAGAGAGAGAGATAAAACAAACAAACACACAATTTATGTCTCAATTGTTCCATCAATCGTATCGGTGCTTGTGTTTGGTGGAATGAAAAACAAAACACATCAAGCAACTTCTGTACAATTCCAACGAGCATTGATTTCTCAGTTCAGTTCCATTTTGATTGCAACAATCAAGGATTTCGAATACAAAAGTGTTCGCGCATTTTGAAGCGAATTGAAAATACAATTAGGGAAAATACCGATCAATATACATTTCATCCAATGCAACGTACGAACCAAAGACGGAAAATACAGCTTTCACAAAAAAAAAAGAAACAAATAAAAATGAAAATGAATCAGACCCAAATAAAAGACAATTGGATAATTTAAACAGCAGAATAAGAAAAATAAACATAAAATAGACAATTGCTCAGAAGTGCAGCCGCACACATGCGAGTGAGAGTGAGATAAAAACACATTGATAAAATAAAGAGAAAAAAAATTTCGTAAAAATACAGTACATACAGAGCTAATTTAATGAATATATATACATAGATGATGTTATAAAACAACAAGCCGCACTACAATAAATTGATTATGTGCATTCACATTTTCTGATACACGTCCCAAACTTTCTTCATCTCACACATAAAAAACGAACTACGTGAACAACAATTGAAATCTAATCGGAATTTTACGTGAAAATCGCATGCTCTTAATGGAAAATCCACATGATTTTACATGTGAACAACGAATAACGAAAACAAACCAAACAAACACACACAGAGAGAGAGAGAGATCGAACGAAAAAAAATTGATCGTCGAAAGTTTTGGGTTTATGCGCTGCACATGGATTTCTAGATCGACACCGTCGCAGCAAAGAATTTGCACAAAAGTACAGAACGGTTGGAAGGTCTATTTAAAACAATGCCAAAGCTGTTAAATATTGATGAATACTCTTTTCGACCACTTGCATTGCATATATTTGTTGCTAACTGACCGATTTCCCTTGGAATTGCGAAGGAATTTTTCATGTGAATCAAGAAAACCGTTTCTTTCCCATTTCCACACGAAACAATTGACATTTTGCCATTTTCAAGAGTTTTTTTTTTCTTCTCCGTTTCAAGTATTTTCTTACTCAATCCACAGTATTTTTTTTAGCCAGATCGGTATTTCCATTTGTAAACAACGAATTGAAACCGATACGATTTTGCCAATCGCACGTATTAGAGCAGCTGCTATGTCAATACGTTAATTTGCCTTTGCCCCCAAACTGACCATAAAACTGCATTAATTTTCTAAATAAATCGAACGTTGATTTGGACGGGTGTAAATTGAATATTCACAAAGCGTTTAATTAGGAAAGAGCGGTTCTGCTGATGAATGGCAATGAACCAGTTTAATCGACGGCGGCGGCGATATGTTTACGACGTCGGACTTTATTCATTTGTGGTGGCCAATGGCCATGTGCATTACAACTGTAAAACGCAAAAATAAAATAAATGTTTGGCATTAGAATTGCAATTAGCGCCGTTCGATTTACTTATAATTAAGAGAAAGGAACGTGATCGTAAAAATCGCAAATATATCGAGTGAGTGAAAAACATATATAAAAGGTGTGGGCGTTCATACACACTTCTTTCTTCTTCTTCTTTTTTCGCGTCGTTTTGATGAATGAATTTGCAGCTGCCATAGCAGAGATCGAAGAAACAGAACAGAAGTGAGTGAGAGAGTCTGAGAGAGAAAAACAAAGA